TACTTGATGTGCATAGATAGTTGGTTCCACTATAGAGTTAAAAAGAACAAGGTGAGGTTCTCTTTTGTATAAGCTAGTCATATATTAAATTATTAGTGCTCTTTGACTTGTGCACATGCACGAGCAAGGTCAATTTAGTTATATACATTACATAAAATTTAAGTTCTATAATCTAAATAAAAAATAAAACAAAATATTATTTATTATGAAATTTAGCTGTACACAACATTATATATGTCGACTCTTCTCTATATAAAAGTATTTATATATTTTTTGATTGGTTATTTTTAAAATTATTAGTACTGATTATGATCGAAATCTCCATTTACCAGTAATTACATATTAAAATAATAAATAATGATGATACACTACATAATAAAATCATTTACAACAAACTGTAAAGTTATATTTAAAAATTCAATTTGTACATATCATTACTATTATATGTAACATCTTAATTTCTTTGAATTTTTTCTATTGAGTTAATATTTTTAAGATTTTCATTTTTTTTTTCTAAAAAATTATTAAAAATACATTTAGCCAAAGGCATACATGATATTTTAATGTTTCCTTTTAATTATTGTAATTATTTGATAAAAATAAAGAGTTGTCATCCAATAAAAATGTTGATATGGTATATTCGGATTTTGTTGCATTATTGAAAATTTGTAATGGAAACCCCATTCAACAGATGTTAATATAAAATATATAAATACATTATTGAAAAAATATATACAGAAATAATTAATTTATTATATTATATGTAAAACATTTGAAAATGGTCAAATAAGTATTGAGTTGTAAATATGATCAAAATATTTACTTTAATAAAAGACAAAAAAAAAATTATTCAATTGATTAATAGACTATTTTAATAAAACATGCATATAGATGTAGATTTATGGGGAGGTTTTCTCATTAACAATATATAGTTTGACTGAAAAATGTGATGAAAATCTAAATAGTTGTTAAATTTTAAATAAATAGTTTTTAATACTTAAACATAAATAAAATCAGTAAGAGCCTAACAAATTTTACACTTTTCAAACTTTAGCTTTCCATGAAACATTATAATTATTTTATATTATGTTGTAAATTATAATTAATTATGATATATTTTTATTTGACAATAAAATACTAAAAAGACTAATATTAGTAGATTATGGAAACTTCAACATTTTGACCTAGTAAATACGGTAGATTTGAAGTGATCTAATAACAATAACAAAGTTTTTTGTTTTTACTATTTTTTATTGTTAGCCAAAAGAAAATTCCTTAAATCACTAATATGGTAAGAAAATTTTGAAAATTATATTTTGAACATATATGAAGATTTACGCAAGATATGATAAAATGTAGATTTGATAAGTAGATTTTATTATTTATGATATATTTTTCTTTGACAACACAATTACTAGACACTAATATTAGTAGATCATGGAAACTTCAACATTTTGACCTAGTAAATAAGTAAATACAGAAGATTTGAATATGGTAAAAAATATATATTTATTACAAAGAACCATTCAATATTTACCATATTATATTATTTTTTTATTAGGAGCATAAATTATTATAAAAAGAAAAAAAAAAAGAGAAAATTTCTATAATTTTATTTATAGAGAACATTTCTTTAGTAATATATAGATTTAAGCAAAACTATTTATTACATAGCACATTTCATATTTTTGGAAATAAAGAGGGAAAAAAATTATACCAATTGGAAAAGCCATACGTAGGGGAAGTTGGCAATGCTGGTTGTACTTTCACCTCTTAACGAGAAGCATTTTCCCTAGCATTTCTTTTTTTTTAAAAAAAAAAATGAAAAATAAAATCATCAAACTAAAATTTATTGTACAAAGAGGAGAGAAATTAAATATATATTTATAATAATTCAAGAATTTATATTTAACATTTACTTTCCCAACATAGGTTGGGTATATTGCCTGGAGCTCACACTTAGGAACCTAAGCCCTTCATCCACCAAACCGCCACGTCCCGCCATGTACGGCGGCGGCTCACGGTGGTGGGCCTGATTGCTCCGCCACAAACCGCCGGAAACTGCTCTGTACCGGCAAAACATTGTGAGTAAACTCTGCAGCTTGTACGAAGATGATGGATTTCTTGTAGCCATATATATTTTAGACAAATATCTTTCAGGATCAAATTCGAATATCCTTTGTCCACTTAAAAAAGGGAAACAGAGAAAAAAAAAATTGGCAATTGAGAAAAGAGTCAAAAGACTGTTTAAGGAACAATTTTTATATTAGGAGAATTTATTGATGGGAAGTTTGTCATACAAGTCTTTGGTTGATTGAAAGAAACTATACCTTTTTAAATCACGCGATGGACTAAAAATGTGTGATGAATAAAAATTAATTAAATGCCTAAAATAGAGACACTTACTAACACGCCAAGAAATTATGTGGTTGAGTTTAATTGGTCACACTTTAAGCGAAAGAGTTTGATTTTCGGTTTGATCTCACGTTAGAAATGCTAACGCAAGTCATATGTTACTTGCAAGTTTCAATTGTACATGGGGTTTTGTTCTAATTTTTCTATTCTATGATCTTACGAGCTTCGAAGAGTTTTTTTCTGCTCTTTCTTGACCCTTTATTTAGTTGAGACAACAGATAAGAGATTTTACACAAATCGAGCTACTCATAAGATGAGGTCGATTTGTTTAAGCTCGAATGGACTTGTCTATTTTGATATACTCCCTCTCTTNGTGTGCTACTTTTTACTTATCAGTGGGTTGAACTTGATTTCGAGTTATAATAGCCAACTCGTTAATTTAGGTGACCCAAAATTCTAAGTCGTAAAAAATCACTGATTTTTTTTCCCACGTGGAGCTCGAATCATATACTCTATTTAGGGTCAGATAACACATGTAGTTTGGATTCAATTTCTCTAATTCCATCAACTAAGGCTGATTTACTTGAAGGGATGAGTTAAGTGGTTTCATCACGTGAGCCAGCTTTTGTCCTATGAATCACTGAGAGACAGTGTGCACATTTATGCGTGGATCGGGCCAAATTACATGGCCTCATTAAAGAAGGAAATCAGCCCATTTAAAGCATATTAGGCCAAGAATAAAACCAACCATAAGGCTTATAGCCCATTTGGTAGTGTGTTGTGAATTTGGGCCAATCCAAGAGCCATTTACATTGGGGGGTAAAAAGGTCATTTATGTTATGGCATGTATGCGGTCTGGTCGACTGTTGGCTCCGAGCTGAATTTGCTCAACATCAGTCGTGCCTCTATAGGCATCTGACAGGGATTGCACCCACCCATGCCGCTCTTTTCCACAATCTTGCCAGCATACGTTTCCTGGTTGAGCGAGATTCCCTTCGCGCTCTACTTCACTTAGGTAGTAGTGAAGTAGGCCGAAGTCGCTCATCTTAAATGCGGCCACCAGACACTTTCAGACCACAAACAAAATCTATATCTATATAATGGATCAATCCATATTGTCATAATTGGCATAATTTTGGATAGAAATTTTTTTTCGTCTATATTTGACATTTAATTACTTTTTATTTATTAGCAAATCTTATATATAAAAAAATTAATTATTTTTTATGTATTCAATGGCTAATAATCATTAACTATAAATTCACTTAAATAATAATATTTTGTGATTCAACATATTTTCAATAAGATCTTAATATTAATTTCATAGTAATTTATTGGCATAATAAAAAAAATATTGTGAAAAGTGATTTGATTAAATATATTATCATCTATAGTTGTAGATATTAATTTAAGTAACTATATTCACCAATCAGAAGTATTTAAAATATATAATAAAATAATCAGAATAACTATATTAAATCATACTAACTTAGTGAATAATTTAAATTATCAATAAAATTTTCTAAAATGTAGTAACCTTAACCATAAAAAAGGTAAATCTCTATTGAGTATATCATTTGTATTGAAAGTTAAAATATTATATTAATAAAATTAATATTTGATGGTCGGGTACAATTGAGAATTATAAATTTCACCATGTAAATATCTATGTACATTAAAAAACTATTCAAGTTTTGAAAAAATATAGCTTTTACTATATACTATTTTATAAATAAAATAGTTAAGTGTCATAATTTAAATTATATCACTTGGTAGTGTCTAATTAAAACCTCCATCGCGCATCGCGTCGCGTTTTGGTTCTTATATTGCATAGCGTAAATAGCGTAGCACATTGCGTAAGCTATTTGAGCAATTCACTTTTAATGCCAAAATAATAATAATAATAATAATATATAACCATACAAGTAAATAAATAATTGAAATGGTCTTACTCTATAAAGTTCATCGAAACAAGGCTACTCAAACTTGATTTGTGTTCAATTCAATTAAAGCTCCCCTTACATGAATAAATAAATAAATAATGGACAAGTACAATCTTGAAGGAATTGTTGGAAAATAATTATCAGGCTTCATTTACAAGTAAATAATCCCTACTTTCATTTACAATCTTTATGAATAAATAAATAAATAATGGACAAGTACAATCCCTGTCTTCATTTACACAAGAAATAATGCTTGGACACGTATTCAATTTGATATACTTGAACAACAAAATACATCTAAATAGACAGCAAAAAGTCGAGGAGCTGCAATTTGATATATTTGGACACCTATCCAATTTAAACAAGAAACACTAATACAAAAGATAGAAGTTCATCTAAGTACACACCAAAGTCTGATATACTTGGACACACATCCAATTTTTTTTTTAAAAAATTTACCTTTACAGTTGAAATTCGAGGAGTTGCTGAATTGGGGATTTAGGGTACCGAGAGCCGAGGAGAACAAGGATTTAGGGTAGGAAAAATTTACCTTTACAGTTAAGT